AGCACATGGCAGGTAAGGAAGAGAAACCAGAAGTACAAAACACCTCCCAGCATCCAAAAGGAAAGAATCTGAACCGGCTGAGCTCATCTACCATTATCTCTGACTCCTATCATTGGGATTTAAATGTTTTGTGGTTGATAATTTCACTGAGGAATAGGTTAAACAAATGGCTGGTACAACTCATTAATGTAACAACAGACCTGTCTTTCATTTCCTTAACCATGCGCTAATTCTCCCCCATCCAACTTCAATGAGGATTCAGATTTATTTCAGAGAATAATTAACCAGGATCTAAAAAGCCCTCCTTCCACAAAAATGTATTTAAAATACATGAGAATACCCATTATGAAACACTGTTGTTATTCCCGGTACATCAGAAAATTTTATTTCTGTGTTAGAGTTGCATTTTCCTTTAAATCTTATCTTTTAAGCCATCTTTTAATCTTATCTTTTAAACCAGAAAATGGATAACACACACATATATCTCCCTTACACAAGAACACAGACTTCTGGGTTCCCTGGGAAAAAAGGAAATCTTGGTATTCTTGACAAGGTTGACAATATAGGCTATAACATAATAAGCAGCACATTGTGAATTATTAAGAGCAACAAGCAATTCTAAATAACTGCTGCTATAATACAAGGGTTCCAAAATAAATCAGCAAAAAGTAAGACCAAATACATCCTTTTCAATAGTCAAAAAGAATCAAATAGCATAGACATCATTTCTGTATTAATACATGATCAACTATATTTCTAATAATTATAGAGCCAGCTTTATAGATGTTTTCTTAAGCATTTATGCACCCCACCGAAGGGTCAGAGGCAAGACATTAGGAGAAAGAAAAGAAACTGGGCAGGTTTAAAACAGTAATTCTTAAGAATATATAAAAACCTCAAATAGATAATTTTTCTATTGATATGTACAGAATGATTTAATGAATGAATGACTGTTCTAAACATATCAATTACAAGTGAAAATCATTTATCAAAAGCATTTGTAAAATATCTTATATAATGAAACATTACATAACATCGTTTTTAGTTCATCGCTCGGCTTATGTTTCAAGAAATGAATCTCATATCTCTTACAACTATGACTACCTTGTCCCAGTTTACCCACGACTTTCCAGTTTTAGCACTGAAAGCCTCACTTCTTGGGAAACTCTCCCTTAGTCCCATATCCTGGAAACCCTTTCAGCCCTGGGCAAACCTAGAAGGTTGGTTACTCTACTTATTACTGAGTCTACAGCCAAACTACTAATATTTAAGAATAGTTTTCTCTAGTATACTGCTTAAACAGATTGACTAGCACTTATATCATTTCTCCTACTAATAGCAGCAAAATCTATATGGTACAGGTGGACTGACCCTGACATAAACGTCCTATATAGGACTGTACCTTGGGATTGCCTTCTTTCCATGCCCATATTCATTCTAGCTTTGCAGACTGTGTAAAGTGACAGTATGGAATAAAAAGACCTCTGTGCCCAGGCCTAGGACAAAATCTCTTAGGTTAGGAGGGTAATCAGAGTAATATGTAAAACCTAAAAGCTCTGAAAAATCTGCCAGACTTGGTTCCAAATCCCAACTTTCGAATTTACAAACTGTGTGATGTGCAAATGACTTAGCCATTTTGAACCTTAGTTGTTTTTAACACAAAACTAGTAATAGAGCTGCTAAGAAGACACAAATATGAAATAACATTTGGTGTGTAACGTATCTGGAGCAAAGCACACACTCGATAACGCTA